GTTGAACGTAAAGCAAGATTATGTTGTTGTCGTTGATGTTCTTGATTTAAACGATGATTTTCTTCAAATAATTCATCATTTCGTTGTTTAAGCATTCTAAAAATTAACAACAAAAAGATCATTTTGTTTTTAAATAATTATCAAAATATACTTTAAATCATTTCGAAGTGAATTAAATTCTTGATAAAGTAATTCATCATTACGTTTTTTAGCATCATTAAGCTAGAAAGATATAGAAAAAAAACAAGCAATCATAAATCATTTTTGAATAATAAATAAATTAATTCTAATCATGCACTAATTCATGCAAATCAACCTGAGAACAATTTGTTTCTCGAGAAAAAAATCTATCCTCTGCAAATGATGGATCAATAAGAGAAAGAAGCATTGAAAGTTTTTTATTAATTTTCTATAGATAAGTTTAAACAAAAAAAAAAAAGAAAAATTTTGTTTGTTATTTGAAATTATTTACTTTTTGTTGTAATTCTTCATTTTCTCGTTTTAATTGAGTCATTGTACGATCAATTTGATGTAAATATTGTTTTAATTGATCATTATCATTTGTTAATGTACGTACTTGTTTTTCATAAGCTTCTAAATGAAAGCAAAAGAAAAAACGAATCTATTTTTCTTTTTGCTTTGGAAAAGAAATAATTACGAACTTAATTTTCTTTCTAATGCTTCTTTTTGATATAAATTAGCTTCATCTAATTTATTTGAACGATTAATAACACCATTTTGTTGTTGTTGTTGTTGAAGTTTTGCAATTAATTGTTGTTGAGAACGTAATTCATTTTGTAAAACATCTTTTTCACGACGAAGTACTTCAGTTTCAGTATTATTCTATATTAATTAAATAAAGAAACAAAAAAAAATTAATAATATTTAATTCTTTGACTTTTTTTTTTTTTTCGTTAAAAATATTTATTGAAATTTGAAATCTTACACTTGTATGACCATTTGGATATATAACTGGTACTTTAGCTTTAAGTAATTTATTTTCTAATTGTAATTCATGAATTTCTTTATTTAAATGCATTATATCAAGTTCTTTTTCTTGTAATTCACGTTGAAGAGATGTACAATCATCATCAAGTGAAAGTATCTAAACAAGAGAAGAAAAAAAAAAAAAGTTTTTTTATATTATGTTTCAGAGCATAGAATTTCAATAGAGTTTTTTTTGTTTGTTTGTAAGTGCCAAAAAGAAAAATATTTATCGAATTTCTTTTAATCAAAGAAGAAAGGTTGAATATACAATTATAGATTCGAATATTAATAGAATTTTCATTTATAATCACTGATGTGATATGAAAAACAAATGTATTATTCAAGATGAAAATACTTATCTTTCCACATGAAACTTATCGTACAATTCTCTATGATATGTTTATGTGTATGACTTTTTAAGCCTTGAGCGGTGAACTCTTTTTTTAGGTAGAATCAACAAAAAAAATTATTCTTAACATGAGATACTTTGAAATTTATTGATGATCATAATTCTTGTACTTAAACTTAATTTAAAGATGCAATACTGTTACCAATGACACCTGCGTCTAAACATAACAAATATTGAAAAGGTCTGTTTTACTATATTATGGCTTCGTTCTCTATTCAAATTTTGAAAACGAAAGTTTACGGGCTTTATCATCAAAGAGTTAACTACTGTGTAAATAATTGTATACGATCGTATCTATTTGTTCTAGATCAAGTTCAACACCATCAAATTTATAATATCTGTAATTTATCTAACATCTGATTCTTTATATAGTGCTTGACGTTTTAAAATAATGAAATCAAATTATTAATTTCTGTAAATATATGTTGAATTAGTAATTCAACAACAGCTAATGTCGATCAAGCTCAAGAATTAGAATTGATGCATCCCCAGTCTTTATGTTGAATAGATGTTTTTAATCTCAAAGTATCGATTTTGATATTCCAATATAGTAATTACTCTTTCGAACAAAAATATTTTGAAGTTTGAATAGATCAATATAGTAAACTTCGCAAAGACTCTTGTCTTACCTAAATATGTATAAAAATACTTCTGAACTTTTTATTCAATATCGATTTTTAATGTAGATGTTCTATGAAATAATAAACTTACTTCCATATTTCCAACATTGATTTTATTATCATCATCATTTTTAATCATTGTAGTTGTTGTTTTTGTTATTGGTCCTTTACTTAAAATAGGAATTGATGATTCCGAAATATCCGATGATGGTCGATCATCATTCATTGATGTTAATAATTTTCCATCATATAAATGTTTTAAAACAAGATCAAGTTCTCGTCGTCGTTCATCATTACTTATCATTGTTGATGATGAATTTGAACGAGGTAATGTTAAATGAAGACGATCACGAAGTTCATTAGTTAATATTGTTGTACGATCAGTTTGTTCATTTTTTGTTTTATTATTAAATAAACTTGGAATATTTGAATAACTTGAATAATTTCTATTTGGTAATGATTTTGAATTATCTACCAAAATGGACGAAGCTGAACTTGACATAAATGATGATGATGATGGTGCTTCGACTATATCATCAATTAAATCTTGACGTAATGATCGACCTTCAATTTTAGTCGGCATTCGGAATTATCTGAAAAAAAACTATAGAGAGAGAGAGAGAAAAAAAATTTATGTATAAAACAAAATAAACAATAATAAGAATTCTCATAAATATACTCCAAGAAACGATTCATTGTTTCTAGTACATTCAGGTTCAATATATATTGTTTCTTCTTTTTCTCTTCTTCTTCTTCTTCTTCTTCTTCTTCTTCTATTCATTAAATAAAGAAGTAACAAAGAAGTGAAGTAATTTCGAGGCAAATATTATTTAAATATTTTTTTCGTTGTTAGATCGAAAAGAAGACAGAAGAGAATAGAAGAATGAGTATCGAAGAAGCTCTATAACAATGAAGAACAAAAACATTTTTATCCAATCTACCACCACCGCCAAACATTTACGTCTCTAGAATTTCACCTCAAACAAAATTCACGTATAAAGTCTTGTTTAGAATTTTTCTTTTTTTGTTCTCATGTTCTTCTATGAGCGTTATTTACAACTAGATGATTTGTATGACTCGTTTCAGTACTTTACAGTAACATGAATGACAAAACTTTACTCACTTGAACAAAGCGGTTAGCAGCAACTTTTTTTTCTCTTTCTTCTCTTTTTACACACTTCGATCTTTATTGAAATGTCTACCACGCAACCAATATTCGCCATGCTTCATATATTCTCCTCGGTTTCTTTACTCATTAACAACAAAATGATACATATGAATAGATGACGTTAGCTATCAATGATTTTATTAAAGCGATTATATATGCAAATTTGATCAAGCTAAATGAGTCATATAGGAGTGAAATATTTATCTTAATAAAGACCAATAAATATTTTAGTAGGATTAATTTTTCTCATTAAATATCAGTAATACGGTCTTTTCTTTCTTGGATTAACTATCAAAAAAAGAAAAGGAAACTTCCTGAGTAAATTGAAGACGTTTGCTGTTCTACTTTAGTTGGCTACATATCGATAAATATAGTAAAAGAAAATGAGTCTCATAATAAGAAAGATAAGAGAAGCAAATAGAAATATATTCGATAATAACTAAAAGAGTGCACAGAGTACAATCAACATAGAAAAGCGGTAATAAAAAACAAAATATTTGTCTACTAAGAATATCTCAATGTAATGGTTATCGTCGGCTACTGAAGATCAAAAAATCTTTTCAAAGATCAAAGTCTATCAAATGGTCTAAAAGTCAAAAAAATATTTTATTTTCATAATCGTACTTTAATCAAACCAGCTAATTCTTTTTTTTTCTGATAATAAAGAAACGAACCATGTTTTTATTCGTATGAAAAAAGTTTTCAAACTATGGTGAAAGTCATCCATTTTAACTGAAATTGTGAAACTTTATAACTAGAAGAAACTGCATCCAAAGATCCAAACATTTTTTACATACGCTAATCGAGGTGGTAGCTTTGTGTGAATTAAGTTTTAGGTTAGAATTCGATGATCAAATGCAATTTTTGTTGAAATTTTTGGAATTTTTTTGGATTTCTTTTTTTTTTACACATTAAGATTTTCTATTTGTTTTCGATTAAAATCTATAAAAACTCACTTTTTTTTGCTTCTTAAACCTTATGAAAGTAAATACAGTACCTCGTTTAATACACGAACCCTTTGGAATTTTTTGTTCTAGTCTAATGCGAGGAGGAAACAGCAGACTTCAAGACTTGAAATTGTCAAAGAACTTCAAAAGACTTCATGAAACTTCTAGACTGAAGTCTCTGCTGTTTCTTCACCGATCTAACCGTTTCTTACAGATGAGCAAAATATGCGCTCAAAAATCTTCAATTATTTGCAACCCTTCCTCATAAATATTCCTGTAGATCAAAATAAAAAGCTAATTTTGTATCACAGTCACGAATAACAGCTTTGATTATTACTTTTGAACTTTTCTCATATGAATAAGAACTTGTATCTTTCTTCTATTATTAGCAAAAAAAGAATTAGTTAGTTTGATTAAAGTACAATAGAGATATTCAAATTCTTTTTTTTTTGACTTTTGGGACATTGGGTATTTCATAAGTGCATGAACTTTAATTAGTCAAAGAATAAGAACGTATGCCGAAAAAAAAGACATTTCTAGAGAATAACTATTTTTAATAATTTTTTTTTTTTTGTTTTTTGAATAATATAAATATTTTATGGTACGTAATAAAGTTTTTATTTTTATTTTTACTTTTAAATATATTTTTTGTTCGTCAAACATAATCAATTCAATTTGAAGTCAAATATAATGGACATTCTTTTTTTTTCTTGGTTTGTTTTAAAATTGAAAAAAAGAAAGAATCACGATTATGAAAGTCAATAAAGAAAGAATGAACAATATAACAATCAAATATAGAAGAGATTGATTTAGTTTTAGAACGATAATCAGTCAAAGAATATATATTGCAGAAATTAATATATGGAATTTCATTTGTTTAATTTCTTATGTTTAATAATCAATGCACGAATTTCTTCATTTGTACAACATTGATCATATGGAGCACCATCTGGATTTGTACCATTAACATCAGCACGCTAGAAATAAAAAAAAATAATTTATAATAAATATTTAGTAAACTCTTTGTTTTTTTTTTATTCGTACATTCTAGAATGTTCTAAAGATTGATATGCATATATGCTCTCTATTGTGCAATAAAGCAGAAGTAATAGTTAAAATAATAATATGATTTATATCGTTTTTCTTTTGTATAATACGGAAAAGCAAAAAATAAAGTACATGTGATTAACGATATAAACAAGAAAGAAAAAACAGACAAATCAAACAAAGAAAAATCGATAGTCTAGATAACGTACTGAAATGATCGTGAACTTTTCTTTTTTAGTTAATAACACGATCAAACTAATCCAAACAACACTCACACACAATGTGTTTTCGTATATATACATATGAATAATAATAATAATAATAATAATAATAATAGTAATAAGAATACCGAAACGGAAAGAAAAAAGAAGTAATAAGGTGACTAGATACACCGAGATAGTCCCAACGAAATAACAGCTATACTTTTAACTAGTAAAACAAATAAAATTAAAAGTTTTATTTAACAAGTTTACATCCAAGTTGTCGTGCAGCTACAGAAACACACACACCATCTTGACATGATTCACATCCATGATGTTGTCCTTTTGGATTTCCAAAACGACGATGATGATTTGTTTGAATTGATGTTTGTAAATTTGGATACATATATTTATTAACAATAACAAAAACATTTCGCATAACACGGCATACTTCTTCAGGATACCATAATGGTGTACATACATCACCACAATGGTCACAGGCTTGTGTAAATAATTTAAAATAAAGTATATATGATTCACAATCATAGAAAAATGATATTTGTCCACGCATTGATGTCCAACAATGTGCACATGAATCACATTCAAAACGCACTTTAGCTATTTCAACATCACATAATGCATTCGATGGTAATCGACAAGTACCATTTGTACCTAATGGCATTAATGCCCATTGATTAGGCAAAAAATAACGTCCGAATGTTAATTGAAATTCAGCATGAAATATAAGACCCATATCCGAACAAAATTCTTTTTTACTTTCATCTGATAAGTTTGATGCTAATTCAAAATCTTCTCTATTTAATGATGGAATAGGTGATGATCGTGTTGATGTTGTTTCAGCTTCAGAAAAACCAGATTCATCATCTGTTATACTTGAACGATGTTTAAATGTTAGATCATCTTTCATTGGTAATTCTTCAAATCGTATACCATCATTAGCAGCATGTTTTGTTGCTATATGATCAATGGAATAACTTGGACTTGATAGTATACTAACTTCACGAACCATTCTTCAGGTTAACTTGTATTGTACTTGTTGTCTTCTGTATGAAATGTGTAGCGTTTGTGTAAGCGGCTGCTTCTTTGCCACTCTTTATATATAGACGCCAATGGTAAACCCTCGTAACGCATTACTTCTATTTTTTTTTCTCTCTCATTCTTTTGCTATGCTCTATATTATGAGTCACGAGTATAAAACATTCGTGCTCGTGTACACTTAAACGTGATCATTACTTTTTAGGCCAACAAGGGCGAGTTTTTTTCCCCCTGTCGTCGTCTTCGTGCAAACAAGAGAAGGACAAACAATAGAAAAGAAAAAAAAGTCGTTTTTTTTTTGCTTGATCAGAATATATCTACGATAGCGGCAGACGAGCGAACGTTTCACATTCTACTGGATGACCTTCACATTGTTTATTATAGAAAGCAACAATAAAAATTACTAATAGATGAAATAATAGATGAATTTACGTATCAATGTTTTAGTTTTCTTTTATTAGTCTACCATTTTACCTTACAAATTTATCCATACATTACGTCAACAACAGATATTCTTTTCTAGTTGATTCATATATAAATAAGTCGATTGGTTAAGAAAAAAAAAGTAATGATATAATGCGGTTATTTTATAAATAAGATAATATATTTATATCTAAGAATGATATATATATAAAAAAAAGAAACTAAAAATAAATATATCTCTTGATCTGCAACTGACGGCAATATTGTAAGTTCAAATTTGATTTTTTTCGTCATCAAAATTAAATATAATGATTTCTATAAAACAACGGATAGTCATTTGCTAGCGTTCATAAGAATGCTGTTCAAAACTAAATGATGTATTACAATGAAAGTGAAATACAATTATACACCATCATTTTCCATAATTGTAATGAGCGTTCTGAAGATTATTTTAATACGTGTTATTATAAATTCTAATATGATTTATTTATAATAAAATACAAAAATGCGAAAATAGAATAATATTTGAAAACAAAAGAAATATTATGTATAAAAACAAGAAAACGAATATAAACTGATTTCAATGAAGACTCATCGACAGTGAATAATTGGGTGTATTTTAGTATACAAAATGATCATACATATAATTTGAATTAACAAACTAATTAATTTCTATTAATCCTTCAAGTATAAATTAATGCATATTTTGCATGCCTATTATATCATACTTAAATAATTTATTACGAAACTCAACAAGGGAGAGAGAGAGAGAGAAAAACAGTAAGAAAAAGAAAAAAACAAACTGGAAGAGTACATCCTATTAATAGACAATATACTGTTCGTACTCTTTTATTCTTTTTAATCATGACAGAATTTGTTATAAGAGACTACGCCATTCTTATATTTACCAATCAAATGTAACTATTATACACACACTATATACTTATCATATTATACAAAATACAAGACAAAAAAGAAAGGTGAGATAAAATGTATTGAGAAGAATAACTTCAAAAATAATGTACAAAAATAACTGATTAATATTAATCCATAATTATCATTCAACTATAACGAATGATTTGATTCATACAACTTAATCATATTGATGAGAAATGAAAAAAATATTTTTGTTTGCGTTATTGAAAGAAAGAAAAGGTATTCAAGGACAAATAAAATAAACAATACAAACCTGTTCAAGAAGATATTTAACACAATTAGTATGATCTTCATAAATAGCAGCAAGAAGTGGTGTTAAACCAAATTTATCTTTACTCTAAAAAAAAAAAAATAATATGTCAAAAAGAAAATTTAATATTCATTTATTTATCTACGTTAACATTAGCACCATTTTCGACAAGTTCTTTTAATACATCAAAGTTTCCTGCGTCAGCTGCATAATGTAATAATGATCGACCATTCATTTGTTCATTCACTTTTTGTGGATGCTTAAAAGAAAAATCGAACAAAATTCAATAGAGTCATCTGTTTGTCTTTTTTTTTTTTGCATCTTTAATTATTACTTCTTTAAGAAGTGTTTTTAATGATTGAAGTTCACCCGTTTTAGCACACCAAATCATGCTTTCATTTGTACTTGCCATGGAATCACTCATTGGAAATTAATTATAAATAGAATAATAAAAAGATATCTAAAAAATAAATCTATCTGATATTAAGAAACATTTATATTAATGATAAATATTAATTTTTGTTTAATTATATATTATTTTTATAGAATATTTCTAATCATAAATCTATTTTTCTGGATAAGATTTATTATTATTTTTCGATTGATATCAAATTTTTCTATCAAATATCTAATGATATAAATGTCCGGAAACAATTATTATTCATCTGTTGGACATGAGATCAAACTAATCAATCTTATAAGATAATAGAAAGGTTGTATTGATTAATTCTCATATCAAGAAATCTCACTGAACTTTTCGATCTGATGTTTTTATTTTGTATTAATTTATTTGAAGATTATTCGTAATTTTATCATAACACTTCAACAAATATCGTAACAATCAATCATAGATAAAAAAAAAAAAAAACAGAAATGCCTTTATTATTTATAGCCATGATTTTTCTGCATGTAAAAATTACCTTAATAAAGAAAAAAACAACTCAGTTACCTATAAGAAGTGAACGAGTAAAGTATAGAAGTGCATCTGTTTCATTTCTACTGATTATATTCAAAAAAGACATGTATAACTAGTTCAAGCTGTTGCTTTTAAAAATACAGCATTTAACACTTTCTCTTTGTATATATCTCTAGTAGACATGTTAACATATGGACAAATTAATACTAATTAACAATTTAATTACATATAAATGTCTAAAGCAAATTTTAGAAATACATGATCTCTTTGATGTAGTACCATTGCATCTTAATATATTCTATTGATTACATGATGTATGATGAAAAACTACTGCGTGAAATATTTTTTGAAAACTAAACTTGATCATAAATAAAAAACAATTGATGACATGTCTATTTTTAAAAATGATTTTCAACATAGATGAATGAATTCTCTTCTGAGAGAATATTTTTAGATGTGTCATGTATGTTTTTTTAATCTATATTTTGACCTTAAGTAAACTTTGATAAGCTTTGAAGAGTCTTAAAAGGATTTATTTCCTTAGGCCTTCCTTCCGAGTTACGATTGTTTTACTATGTTTTCGAACTTCTACAAGGTATATTTTATTTGATATATGTTATTCATAGACAGATGTCAGAATTTTTAGGATGCTATAAAAATTTCAGGTCAAATTAATACTTCTTTTTGACGTTTGGTTCTTTTCACAAGGAAATCTTAATTTGTCCTGAAACTTCCGGAACATCCCAGCCATTTTAACATCGATCTATAGATAAAATATCAAATTAAACATACTTTATAACAGATCAAAAACATAGTAAAACAATTGTAATTCGAGGAAGAAAATCTAAAACACTGAATATTTTTCAAGTTTTTTATGAATACTTCATTAAGATTAATTTATGGTCAATAGATAGATTAATATACGTACTTATGTTTTTGCACAAGTTTTATCTGAAAAACATCTTTCCATGAACTCAACAATATTCTGTACTAGCGAACAAAAGTAATTCAATGTAATTTTTGTAATTTACTCATTTTTTAATAAAATTTAATTTGTATCTATTCAGAATTATATTCCTATCAATGTCAGATTATCATAATCAAATTGAATCAATAATAAATAAATATTGAATGAAATTTTCTTTTTTTTTTTATACAAAGACAAAAACTTTGTATTATCAATATTGATGATAATAATAATCTTGTTTAGAATCTTCGAATTGAAAGCTGTTGACAAGAAATAAAGGAATTCTGATCTTCTTACGAGATTAAATCAAGTAGAAAATCATAATGTTTCAGTCATACGTTGTAATAATCAGCTAAATAATTCACTATAACTATAATAGTTCTGTCGCGAAAGCTTTTGATTATTTAATATTGAAAGATCAATAATAGATTGCACTACTGATAATAGAACTGTCAACAATGTTTGTATTGTTGTAGACTTAATAAACTATCTAGCTGAAGAAATCAAGATACAGTCCTAGATAAAAATCGCTACGCCTTGCCCAGAACTATTACTATTTCTAATGATATTCAGCTGTTATTTTGAGTACATGTGTCCAAAAATACATACATATCGTAAGCATCAACCTATCTTCTATCAGTCTAGATGTAATCGAGTTATAATTCAAACATCATTTTCCCTTTGTGAAAAAAAAAAACATATTCAATAGAAATTTCCATTCGAAAGATTTTCGTTTATTATTTTTCTATTCTACAAGCTATTACTGGTTTTTTTTCTATCTTACAATCGAGTGCCATATGCCTACTTTAGTATCATCAAAGTTCGCGACACATACCCAAGATAAAAGTAATTAGCACATTCTGAGATAGGGAAACGATATCGTAGTGCTAATTCGACTTTGTTTTTGTTCTGTATTGCAGCTCTAAAATTTCCAAGGTAGGCTCGTCGTCTCACAGGAATTTAGTGTTGAAATTTTCAAAGACACCAGTCAAAGACAGCGTAAAAAAAATCATCATTTGCTTTTCAACAAACCTCCTTTATCAGAAGAAATAAATGATAAGTTAAACAAAAATATTTGTACCAACATGTGTGAAATAACGTATTTACACGAAGAAGATGATGTTTGAATTATAACTCTCTTCTATCTAAACTGATGGAGGAAAGATTGATGTAGACAATCAAGATTTATTGTCGTACATACGTACTAATTCAATATCATAAAGAATAGTAGTACTTCAGAGAAAACAGCTACTTTTTGTCCAAGACTGTCAGTCTTCTGTTTACACGTATATGTTCTTTGGTTAACCCGAAATTATCGTAATCTGATTCTATCGAAAGCACTTTATTAATTTATTGATCTCAAATCTTTCTAGATTTTTTGTATAATTTAACTTATGAAGAAATGATATGTCAATTTATTAATATCCTAAAATTTTCTTCTCTCGATTGAAACAAAAATTTATCTTTCTAAAAGATAATTTCTATTGCTCAATCTTATCTTATTATTATTCTAAAATTCAAACAAAAATGAATTAAATCAAGACTTGCTTTCTACAAGAAAAAATAAAACTAATTTTTTTGTCTATTAAAACTCTCGTAAAAATACTTGAATCATTTTTATAACAATCAAATAATAAAGACCAATATCTTCTATATTCTATTTTCAACATTTCTAAAATTCTAATTGTCTGTTAAATCCCTAAAAATAAAAAAAAATAAAAATAATCATCTAAAGAAAATGATTGATTTCAATTACATTGCTCTGATTTCTAACAGCGATGATAACATAATTAACATCTGCAAAATTTGTTAAATATGATTTTGCTTTGTTGAAATTTAACAATTTCATAATTGAACCAAAATCCAAATAGACTATAAAATAAAATGAAAATATGGTGATAAAAAAAATATTGATATAGATCTATTTGTCGTTACATAGAGTTTTAACCAATGAGATATTTTTCATTATTCACTGTGCCATCTACATGAAACTTTGGTTTTATGGAAAGAAAAAATAACTATAATAATAATTAAAATGAAAATTCATGAAGAAAATTATCTTTTGCATAATTTATTAATGATTCATTTCTTCACTTTCGACAAATCTATTATTCAGTATTGGTTGGTTGTTCGACAAAAATAAATACGAACTTTTACGGTAACAATCAACATCAACCATTCAAACGTTTTGTTTTCGTATAGTTATACTTGACAAGCAAATATTGACGTTCTTGTTTTTTAGATTCGATATTATTTTTATTGTTTCAATTCAAATTATCACATAAGGTAAAAAACATTTCTTTTTGTTATAATATAAATACCTTTACTCATGTGATATTTCTCTATTGAAATAAACGTAAAAATTAAATGTATTTTATTTTCGTCTCATTATATATCTATTCTACGCATATCCTTAGGAAGTCTACTGAATATAAAAAAAAAATGGAATATTTGTAAGTATAAAAATATTAAACTAGAAGAATGTGTGTATTACTCCGTAAAACATCGATAGCACATAAACGAATGTCCGAGACTAGATTTTGTGTATTTTTTTCTTGCTTTTGATATGTTAACACTTATTAAAATAATGACCCATAGAAAAAAAAGAAAACAAAACATTAATTTTCTTATTCATGCTTATTTAGTTTTACCAAACACAATTGTCATCAACAGATAAATCATCATCGTTATTATTCATGCTATCTTTTTATTATTATTGCTTTTTTATTGCTTGATTTTACTAATGCTACCAATAATACTATTAATAGTGATGAAGGAGTATTGGAAAAAGTGGTATCTTTTGGAAATAATATATGGGAAAAATTTAAAGAAGAATCAAATGAAAATGTAACAACGACAACAACATCGAATGAAAGTTTTATTGAAGATGTAACATCAATATTTCATAAGCCAAAAGATCTGTCTCATTTTCGAACTATGGTTCTCACTTTTCTTCGAATTTTTGCACAAGCTTTTATAATTGTAAGTTATTAGATAAATGCTTTTCAGTGAGTTTAAAAAAAACCAATGCGTTCACCTTTAATGACAGGTTAGAAGAATAAAGTTTTAAATCGACATTAAAATTGCTTAATTATCGTTTGTTTCGTAGACTGTCAAAATAATATAATAGCTTTCTTTTTTTTTTCTTTCAGTTTTTATAGACTTCTTATTGACAAAGGAACGCATACTATACTCCGACTGTTTGATTAACATTTTCATTCTTGAAGTCAGTTGTTTATAGAAACCTGAATTATGATGAAATTTCATTCATAAACAGATTTTCATGATTATTAGTATATATTCTTAAAAATTTCAGCTGAAATAGATATGTTCTTCTTAAGATATGAAATGTCTAAGGACAGACAATTCTATTATGTTGTCTCGATCTTTACAAAATGTTAACATATGTTGATATATACATTGAAATAACAAGGATGAATGATGATATATAAGCTCATTTTCATTCTATACATCGTTCTTATAAGAAATATGTTTCTCGTTATCTCTGAATAAACATTTTCTTTTTGAAATATGAGATATGTAAATACTTCTTGCCAAAATAGACTTGATTATAGTTTAAACAAGTATCAATCGTCAATTTTAATTTTATGACTAGATATATGACATCCTATTCAATATTTGATTAAATTTTGTTATGTCTTTTTGTATATTGAAAACATAAAAGTTAGACATGTTCATTTTTTATAACATGTCTTGTCATGAAAAATAAATTGATCGATGATTTTGACATCTAATGAAAAAAGAAAAAGACAAATCCTTTGAGTAGGTCATATTTGAATTGAGCACAGCTGCATTGATAATCAAACATTAAGATAAGAAGTGACATTCTTTTGCTATATAAACAATTTTATCGGTTAAGCAGGTAGACAAATAAAATCTTCAAAATTCAGACGTATCTTCTTGATAACTATAAGATCATATTACATATAAACTCAAACAAATCGGATTATGTAATGATTTTTATGAAAAATTCAAAAAAATATCAAGTTTTAAAACATTATTCTAAAAAAAAATTCATCATATTTACTATTCAAACTTCTAAATGAAAATAACATATATCATACTTTCGATCAAAGTTACTCAAAAAGTAATCATTTCATTTGAAAGTTTCATCGTCTCAATGTAATTGATTCATGAAGTAAACCAAACCTCGGACACTGTCAATACAATGCGTTTAAACTTCCATCGACAGTAGCGGAGTTTGGTTTACGTTTACTTCATCGGCCCAATGTAATTTCTAAAGAATAATTTCAGTTAACTTTCTTTTATTATATATTTAATTATTCTTATTTATATTTTAGTTTGGTGGTGTAATTCCATACATTCCACAATACTTAGTAATACATCGCACACGCAATGCTGAAGGTTTTTCCAGTTATGTTTGTTTGACATTACTTATAGCTAATATAATTCGTATTGAATTTTGGTTTGGTAAACATTTTGAAATTCCACTTCTTCTACAATCAATAGTAATGATTTTTTGTATGCTTATTATGCTTGAATTACGAACACGTGTTCATTCACAAACAATACGTCGTAATTCAACTACGGATACAAGCACTAGTATGTCATGTTCACGAGAACAATTAACTGATGATATGTCTGATAAAAAATTTACTGATTTTCAAATTGATTATTTTTGGCAATGGACAACGTAAGAAATAAGAATGAAAATTTCATGATTGTCATTGTTGATTTCTTTTTTTTCAAAATTCAATTCATTTTAGGTTTTCAAGTTATCTTGAATTTTTATTTGTTTTTACTGTAATATTAAGTAAGTATTATATGAAAAAAATCGAATAGACTTATAATCTATAAACTCAAATAGAAAGAATTACATATGATATATAGATTAATCTTTTCGAAAGTCAAGTATTTAAATATGAGGAAATTAATCTTTTTTGATAATGTATCAGATTTAGTAAATTTTTAATCTTTGATAAGTTACTCTACTCTATCATTGATAGATTTGTAACTATACAAAATCAGAATCATATTTATAATGGCGTAGCCAGGAGATCGCCAATAGTAACGATCTTGAAGAAAAACCTATGAAATATAGTTTGAATGATGATAATTATTATGCTTTTCACTCTTCTGCTGATAAGACAACGCTTGATGTAGCTCACCATTGATTACACCACTACATATTTAATTTTTGTCAAACACGATCTAAAGGGAGTGTTGAAATATACGAGTAAAAACTTGCTCTTCCCTGTCTGGACGTCACAGGCTGTGTATAAATAACGTCTTATTCTAATGTATGAACTAATTTCTTATTGCATTTCTGGAAGATTAAATAAAAAATACGTCGCAAAATAGATAGAATAAAATAGTCCCTCAGCGATTAACAAGAGTAGTTACATAGTGTTGCACATTTTAATCTCGTGAGACTTGTGCTAACGATTTTCTTGTTTAATATTATTATTCCTTTAGGTATAATAACATGGGTATTACATAAAAATCTAGTTTATGTTGAAACTATTGGATTTTTGGCTGTATTTTGCGAAGCTCTTCTTGGTGTACCTCAATTTGTGCGTAATTTACGTGCAAAATCAACTGAAGGAATGAGTGCACAAATGGTAAATTGTTTTTTTTTTTTATATTTAATTTTTTATAATTAAATTATTTGATGTTATTATTTTAAGGTTATTTTTTGGACAGCGGGTGATATTTTTAAAACAGTTTATTTTATTGTTCGAAAGGCTCCGAAACAATTTTGGTTTTGTGGTATATTACAAATTAGTATTGATGTTGCAATTCTTATTCAAGTTTTGGTCTATTCAAATAAATGTCGAAATCGTGGACAATGAAAAAAAATTGAGAAAATATTTTTTTAACTTACATTATTTATTCTGAGTTTATGAATCTCCTATCTTTTGTTTTTTCTTTTTATTTCTATGATATCGATACAAAACAATGAATAAATGTGAAACTAAGTTTTTTCATTCTGTTTAACCTATTTAATCAATATTTATACTTCACTAATTATCAAAAAAAAATTTTTTTTTTCTTTGTTCATATTGTTAAGATAAGTTTGTAAACAAGCTAATATTGATCCGTCTATTTTTTATTTATATTAATAACATATCGTATTTATATTTTAAGATTTCACAAAAAAAAAAGAAACTCATATTAATTATTTTGTTTTTGATATTGTAAAATGTATCGATCATGTTTGTTGTGTTTGTTTTTTTTCCTCATATTATAATAAGTCCATTAACATAGTGTGAAACATTAGTCATTGTTCTATTTGGTGAAATTAACAAACAAATGGTTTCTTTTTTTTTTCTTGTTCTATTATTTTTTTTAAATATGATAAAATGAATTTTAGGACGAGGATTAAAATAGAGTTACGCAAATACAAAAAAGATGTTTGTCTTTTTCTTTTTGGAAAGTTTTGTTAAAAACAAATTTTTTTCTCTATGGCAAAGCGTTTTTTTTTCTTTGGACACGATAAAATTTTTCTTTCAAAACTCAAGTGTTACTACTTAAAATAGGATATGATGGTTGAAAGTATTGATTAGTAAAGTACAGAAATCTCAAATTCTTTTTTTTTATGTGTATATTATTGCAACACTTATAATAAGTATCATTCAATTTAAACGAAGACTCTCGATTATTAATCATTGACATAAAGTGTTGCAGACACTTAATTACAATATGAGATATGAATTTAACCTTTAGCTAAAAGATATCAAAATAACATTTTTCTTTTACATTATCTTATGATTATATTTTCCTATATAAATGCGGATATATATATATATATGAAGATGTATACATTAATTTAAAGATAACAATATGTAATTTGATGAACAATGTGTATTGATGCATGAAAAAGAATCTTAATAGTCTGATGAATATCCTATCATTAGTATTTATTTGTTTGACTATATAGTAAAAAAGAGAGAAAGAAAGAACCAAGCTAAATAACAGAATGATTGACATGCATGCTCAGTCACTCATTCAACCTCATTTTTAATCTGCTTGTCTGAAATCGCATTCGCTTTCAGTCGCGTGTTCAATGACATATGAGCGGCGTGTGGTCGCACAAATTTGATTACCAGCAACACCATAACCACGCCCTATACGCATATTTGCATGTCAACATTTGCGTAATAACTTTTTTTTTGTATAAAGAAGACAGAGAGAGAGAGAGAGAAAAAAAAAAGGAGAGTTTATTATATGTTAGGCGGAAACTGGACTCTCATTCTATCTTTACATATTTTTTTTTCTTCTTTTTTGCGATTTCGTTTTACATATTGATCCGAATAGAATGAATGAGTAAAAGTGTGTAAAGTAATGACACGCTCTTGTACATTTCATATGTTTGGTATATCGTATATGCTTCAAATATCAAGTAAAGAAAAGAAAAGAAAGAAGAGAAAGAGCGAAAGCGGAGAAGGAGAGACAGAGAGGAAAAAGACAGTCCAATCACTATCATACGGTTGATTGCCACGCGAAAACGTGAAGAACAATAATATTGAAAAAAAAAAAGAAATGAGTTTAAACCGCAAATGAACAACGATTATTAAGAATATATCATCCAATATCTACACATATGTTTAAACGAGGTATGTCTGAAAGGTTATCTTTTGTCATATGTTCTCTTTCATAGACAAAGAATTGTGCTAAGTAATTTTCTTTTGTTTCGTTTAGTTCTATTCATTTTTTATAATCATAAGTGCTTGAGAAAGCAAAAATTCGAGAGTTAAAGTTGACATTACTGAATATAGAAAAAAAAAATGTCATTTATGTTTCGTCATCGAATAAATTGATGATTGTCGATAGTGTAATGTTCAACATACCATTGTCTATACCCATCGGGCTATGGTCACTAGTGTTACTATGTATTTATATATGTCACTAACGAAATAAAAAAGAAAAAACGAAAAGAACAATGTTAACATATTAGACAAATATACAAAATTCGATCGATTTGTTTCATTTACATGATCGATTACGTTGAATTCGTTATTAATATATTATAGTTAATTCAATTGACAAATTCCATTGCTAAATATTCGTATAACATTGAATGTTTATAAAACAATAGACACCAATTAGGAATAGGTTTTATTTTGCATTAAATATCATTCTAAATTAGTATATATGAGCAATTGTTTGTTTATATACACATATTAAGAAAAAAAAACAATATATATCTGATTCTTTTTCATTTATTAGATTCATTAGATTGACTTTTATATTGTTATATTAGAAAAAAATCAATGAGCTATGAGATTCATATTAGAGAACTTAATCATATCAAACCTCTTTAACAAAAAAAAATATTCTTATATTTCTTTTTTCTTTTTTTTTGAATTTTTTTAGATCTTGTCCTGTTTCGATCAGCACGTCTTTTTTCTTCATCGACAAAGAAAAAAACTTCAACCAACGACGATGATCTATGTATTTCTCATTCATCAAATCGTTTATGTCCGATCTGTCGATGTTCGTATGATAATCAAAAACATAAACGCTTAATCGATACGACATGTCATCATGAAAAGTGCTATACATGTATGTTCAAGTATGAACAATGTTCGATATGCTTGTCACATTTAGGTATGTATACATGCTGACGTGCATGCGTATGTCAAAATGTTTTAAAAAAGAAAATTAATCAAGCATAACCAAAATAGAATAATTGACATATACTAAATAATACATTAATATTTGATCGTTATTGAACCTAATAATGCTTACTATTACGTTTCTCTATCCTTGATATCAAGAGCGATAAATTAAGTAGAAAATTATGATTTTTAGTTAAAAATCGTTGTTCACAAGATAATACAAATACAATGAGATCAACATCACCTTCAATTATCCCAACATCTACTTCTCAATCTCTTACATCATCAACCATAATTGCTAATAATTTACTTGTTCAAGCTTCACCTCCTATGTCACGTTCTACTATTGAACGACCTCCACCAACACCAATGAAACCAGTATCTCATTTTCAAAAAATTTTACATCATTTTAATGGAAGTAAATCAATAAATAATTCATGTATACGTGGAACATCACTTACAACAACTCAACAACGACCTTTAATTAAAACAAATGGTTCAATGACAACAATAATGAGAAATACTCATAATAATAATAAATGTTCTGAACAATTATCTCCACAACACCAATCAGATGAACCATTACCACCTCCACCACCACCAGAAATGGCTCATGAACAATTACTTGATATATTATTTCAAGGTAATCGTACACGTATTTCATCAATATCTCCATCATTATCAACATCATCAGCAACAACACATACATCAATTCAACGAATGATGATCAATAAAAAGAAACAACAACAACAGCAACAAGTACAAATTAATCCAGCAAGTATTTCACCAGCTATGTCAAATTCTGATCTTTCATTTTCACCATCTGGTATTAATGTTTTATCACCAAGTAAATCATTTTGTTTTTCAATCAAATATCTTTCTTTCAAATATCTAATAAAAATTACATTGTTTCTTTTTTTCTAAAAGGTATTGAAACATTTTCTGGTTATGAACTTGGTCCAATAAATAAATCAATACCTAATACAATGGTAGAATCTCAAACATGGTCATCACCACGTTACATAACAACTCCATCATCATCATCACCATCGAATCATACATGTCATTGTAATTCAAATTTAAATAATGAATTAAATTTAATATATGATGAAGAAAAATTTTTTATTCAACGTGATTGGATATATGATGAAATGTTTAAATTATTAAAAGGAACGACAAAACCCGGTCTTGTTCTATTAAGTCATACACCAGGAATGGGTAAAACATGGTTAATGAAAAATTTATTACGAACAACAACTATAACATCACAAAAAACAACATCAATTATTACTCAAAATGAAAAATGTATGACAATAAGTACATCTATTTATTGTAATAGGATTGATATAGATAATGTTTTATCCAGATTTTTTTTTTCTCTTCTGAAGGAATTACTTTAAAGGGCGAGTATCGATTTTTGGGAGTGCAGATACATAAAATGTGGTACAATAATCAGATACTCCGGGGAAATTCAACATGATCTTTAAAGGGGATGCCACATTCTCGGCCTTCGAACTAAATAAAACACTGTTTAATTACTAGAAATCATAAAGAAGATAATCGTTTGTTTGTTTTTCATCGAAATAAAGCTCCGTCTAATGAAATCCATTCTATACAAAAGTTAAATCTTAATTTAAAAGAAAGGCTTTGCCAACTATGAATGAGAATATTGTTAATGCATAGATATCGATCTACATTGAAGAGCATATTAAAAAATTCATTGATCAAAAAATATTCATATTCACATTCATGTTTAATCTTAATCAAACATTGTAAATACTCATAATGTTTTTGATTAATCAACAAAACTAATCTCTACAATACATTGTAAATTCGATACGTTTATCATTAAGAAAGATTGCAGTTAACTTCTGTTAGATTAGTCTATCATAGAATGAGAGCATATGTGTTTACAGAAATGAAATTGATTCTTTTTTTTTCTTAATTTTAAATTCAACGAAAATCTCTGTATGTATTTTCTACTCCGAAGGACAATTGTAAACTCTTCCAGGACAAATATCTATTTTCGGAAGCACGGATACATAGTGTGTAATAGACAAAAATCACAAACTTCGGGAGAGCCAAACCGATTTTCTAAGAGACGCAACACCCTCCACCTCCACATTAGATGAAACATTACTCTAGAAATTTGCAAAGGAGCCTGATAAAAATGGTCAAATTTTTCGGTACTCTGAAAACATTGTAAAATGATAACACCTCAACAATAAACAACTACCTTGATGTCAGTTCATTAAGGTCTTGTTCTTTTTATGGATAAAACTTTTTTAGAAATATCAGAACTCATTGTAATTCTCTTCAAAAGAATAAACGATGACGTTTAGATAACGTACGACATTTCAACAATAAATTGCAATAACAATCAATTGTATTCAGGATAGATTTATTATTTCGTAGTCTTATCTTAATTCAAACAAATGACGAAGATAGTGCTTGTCTCTTACTAATCGAAATATGTATGATATTGTTAAAAAATTCATATTTATTTTATTGTTCTTTTGTATAATGATCACATAACATAAGAGTTCGTATGCAAATTAGGGATAATAGAAAAGGAATCATCTATAGTCAATGTGATTCACTATTGCATTCCACGACTTCTTCATGTACGTTCTGTCAATGGAAAAAAAGAAATGCACATGAACAACTGAATACAATAGTGAATTATTATTCCTAGTTTGCATACGAGGTCTAATGGTATTTGATCGTTACATAAAAGAATGATTAAATAGATCAGAATTTTTAACGAATATCATACATCCTTTGATTACTAATACATAAGCAGTATCTTGTCCATTTGTTTGAATTAAGATAAGACTACGAGATAATAAATCTATCCTGAATACAATTGATTGTTATTGCAAATTATTGTTGAAGTGTTATATGTTATCTAAATTGCATTGTTTGTTCTTTTGAAGGAGATTACAATGAGTTTTGATATTTCTCAAGAAAATTTTATTGACAAAAAGAATGAAATGTTAATAAACTGACATCAAGGTAGTTATATATTGTACCTTTACATTAATAATTTGATGTATTGATTACACTATATTATTAAATTTCTATTAACAAAATCATATGAAAAATCTTTTTTACTATTCTCTCTTATATTTATTTCTTTTAGCTTCAATAATTCGAGTAAATTCGGGCAGAAAAACTTCTTATGAATGGTTAAAATCTCATATATTATCATCACATTTTTGTGATTGTTCACAAACAGATACTTGTTCATTACCAGATATAATACATTCAATAATTTATCGTGCACTTGAACATCCACTTTTACATTCTTATCGTGATGTTATTTTACGTGAACAACATACACGTAAAGCAATTACATTAAATGCATGTATACAAAATGTTGAACATGCATTTTTTACTGGTAAAAAAGAAACCAGAGAGATTTTCTATTTGTTTTTTTTTTATTATTTTATAATATATGTATATATTTTTTTTTAAGCTTTTCTTGATCAATTAAATCAATTAAAACTTCTTGGTCATTTACAAGAATTATTTTCTATAACAAATCATATTTATTTAATAATTGATGGTATTAATAATGAATTATGTGATACAGAAGGACAAACAATAACAGAATTTTTATTTACTAATCTTCATCGTATACCATCATGGTTAAAATTAATAATAACAATGAATCGTATAGATGATAATCAACATCAAATAGAACAAAATACGTTTCTACAAAATTTTGCTGTATTAGATATAGAAGATGAATTAAGATTTTCAAATTATTTACATAATGATATTCGAAAATATTTATCCAAAAGATTAGAGGTAATATAAATATAAAGAGAGAGAGAGAGAGTATGAGAATTAAAGTTCATATTCATAATCATTAAAAGATTTAATAATAGAAATCAATTAAATTGTTAAATTTCTTTAAGATTGTTTTTTGTTTTTTGTATTTTAGAACGATTGTAGTAATGAACTTTATGATTTATCATCATCTATATCAAATATTGATCAATTATGTACATTATCTCATGGAAATATATTTTTTATTCAACAACTTTGTGATTTATTTGAACAACGTGAATTTCCATCAAATATTGATCTTCCACGAACATTAAATGAAATATTTTATTATCGTTTTTTAAATAATAAAATTCAAGAACATATTGAAGTTTGTCGTATTATTCTTGAAATATGTTTAGCATCAAGACGATCAATTAATTTAAATGTTCTATATAATTGTCTTAATATTGATGAAGAATTACATATTGAATGGTCAATATTTTTACAAGTAAATTTTATTTATTTATATTAATTTTTTTTTTTTCAATTTAAATTTTAAATTTTAATTTAAAGTGTATCTCTCATTTATCTGTATTTCTAACACAATATCCAAATTCAACGTATGCTATTGTTCACGGATCAATTCGACATTGGTTAATAACTTATTCAAATCAACATTTTGCTTGCAACATTCAGTAAATATTTTAAATAGATGGATCATTTCAGGAACAACCGAGACATATTCACTTTTCATTTGACTTTAATTCTTGACAAGGATTATTTTTTTGAATAAGTTCTTTTAGCATAGACATATGTAAAAATGTTGACTCTTTTAGTTGATGATTAATTAAAAAAATAATTACCAAATATCTCTCTAACCATATGCAAAAAAAGCTCAAAAAATTCAGGAGACACTGAACAGCACAGGATTGCATGTATGGTAAAATTCTCAGCAAGATCAAACTTCCAAAACACGTCCTCCTAAAAAAACCGGCTTTTTAGAGACTCTGAAGAAGAATTTGTACCGTTCGGAATTGATTGTAAACTTCGTATTCGGTTATAAGAGCATTTTTTCGTACTCCGCAACATCGCTAATGAAAAGTAAATCGATTTGTTTTTTTGACAAACCTTGGCCTACTAAGAAAAAACTTTGGATAGAGATTTCCTAGCTTCAGAAGTTGTGATTCATCATTTAATTTTAAAAAATATTGCCTCAATTCGGAGCTTTTCTAAATAGATGTTTCTTCTGTCTCTTTTAAATATTTTTATAGAAAAGGTCATTCTCGTTTGGCACTTTATTTATCTCGTTCATTAACAACTCCATTACATGGACCAGAAGCTATTGAATGTATTCGTCATTTATCATTAAGTGATTTATTTTCGAATAATATTATTCAATTATGTCATATAATAAAACATTTAATCGATGATTCATCACGTTTATTAGCTTCACTTCGTAATGCATTTTATCCTGAATTAGATATAAGTGAATTATTATTAATGACATTAGCTGATCCAAATTCATTAGTTAATTCAATTCATATGCCACTTTTATGTATTGCATCACGAAATGGTTATACATCATTTGTTGAATTACTTTTAAAATATCATGCCAATGTTAATTTAGCAACAAAAGATAATGAAAATAAAACAGCTTTAATGCTTGCAGCTGAATATGGACATGAATATGTTGTGAAATTATTAATTGATCATAATGCTGATGTAAGTTGGAATAAATTTAATCAAATAAAAACTTATTTCAATTTTGAGTCTTTTCAAATATTGTTTAATAATTATTTAAATGTCTTAATATTTCTCATAATAACTACTGCAATCATGATGTACAACGACAAACATTTCCAAAGAATATTACGACATAGAAACGAGCTGCTTCACATCGAGCGGCAAATCCTATATTTAGTGGAAGTATTTATTATCAATAAGTATAGACTTCAACTTTTATCATGAATGTTTCATTCTCCTTGCAAACTGATCCAGATTTTACGTTGGATTATTCTACTCTGACAACCTTTCATTAGGCTCTCTCAATCCTTAAGATTGTTGATTCAAAGTGACGATTATCGCAAACTTTCATAAGAACAATTAACCCTTCTAAATATCGTTCTATGATAGGATAATTGATCCTTAAAGACTTTCAGACGCAGCCATCGATCGATTGTTAGATGACAGATAAATATTCTTCCACAAAGCTAAAGCTATAGTGAATAAAAATCCGAGTACGAGTTGTTGTGTGCTAGAAATGAATACATATCGAAAACACTAAGTACTGTCTAACTTTCAAAATCATTTTTAAGGTTATATCTAATGCTCCGACAAAAATTTTCAGAGAATTGAACAGCGAATCTATTGGAACTAAGCGCAGTGTTCTATTTAGAAATTTGACCAAAACAAATTTAAAATATAAATGATGCCATTATTTATGGTACATCAGTTCATTTTAGGTTACAATTATACAAAACATATTGATAAGTTTTCATTATAAAAAACTATTTGTACATTTGTTGTTTATATGATTTATGATTCCATATGACATACATTTTCACGTACAGTTCTAATCTAATGTCCTAAATTCAATTGCCATCTTATTTTCTATCGAACTGTAAATTGTACAATTATCAATAACGTCTTTATTTATTTTATTTGAAATTTTGCAAACATTTTCCCATATAATATACTTTCTTTTTGACTTAAAAATAACGAATCCAAATCGATTAATCGAGGTTATTAGTTTTATTAGGAATTTCCTTTTAAAATTATTCATATCGTGAAATGTTATTTAAATTCTATATCAAGAAAATTGAGTCTACAGATTGTCATAACGAAACAGGAAGGTAATTCAAACCAATTAATCCTGAAGCAAAAATCGACAACCTCACTGCTCATTGGCCGATGTGATTGAGTAGCTACATTGTTCGATACGTATTCACAAGGTAGTGTATGTGCAAACCTCAGTACGACCAGCTATGGAATGACTCTAAACAAGACACAAACGGATATTTGTCTCGGACCATTCGTCTGATAGTATGTTGACTGTCTTATGACATACATCTGCTGTTGTGACTAGTATGGAGTTAGTTAATGTGCTTGGAGAGCTCAAGAACTCTGCATCAGGCCGACGTTCTGTCCAAAGTTATAGCTAGCCATAGTTGTGGGAAAGATATCAGACTATTGAATCCGCAACTAGGCAGCATCTCATATTTCAAGATAGCTGAAAGCCAGAGATTTTCTTCCGAACAATTAACGGAAAGTAAATTCTCACACAAGAGAAACGCTAATTGAAATATATTTTGTATTCCAAGATATTTCTAAAAACTTCTTTTTTCTTCTGTTTTTATTTAGATCACATTAAAAGATAAATATCAATTAACAGCTGTTGCTTATGCAACAAAATATGTATCTATTTTGAAATTATTCACTTGTACAGATGAATCTATAAAACAACAAGCATTTGTTCACGCTGCATCAAATGGTTCATTAGATGCTCTTGAATTTATGTTAACTGATAATAATTATTCAATAATTGATATCAATGGTATGGATTGTATACATGGTGAAACAGGTATATTTATTCATCATATGTAATAATTCATTTATTCTTAAAATAAAATTTTCCATAGCTTTAACAAATGCATCAAGTTATGGTCATATAAATATAATTGATTATTTAATAACAAATCATCAAGCAGATATCGATCGAACAAATTCTCGTCAAATGACACCATTATTATTAGCAGTTAAAAATGGTATGTGGCCATGTGTAGAATATTTACTTGATCATCAAGCATCAATTGAACATTGTGATAAACAAAAACGAACATGTTTAATAATTGCAGCTAGTGAAGGTCATCTAGCTGTTATTGATAGTTTATTAGAAAAAGGTTTTGTTTTTAATAAACAAAAAACAAAATTAATTTTTTGTCTTATTTGTTGTTTTTTCTCTTTCGAATAGGTGCTAATGTTCATCATGAAGATGAAGAAGGACTTACAGCTTTATCATGGGCTTGTTTAAAAGGTCATTATCATGCATGTGAAGTTTTATTAGCTCATGGAAGTGATATTAATCATGAAGATACAAATGGACGAATACCAATTGATATGGCATCATTTTATGGTGATGTACAACTTGTACAATTACTTATTGATCATGGTTCAATTATTGATCATGTTGATAAAAATGGAATGCGTGCACTTGATCGTGCTATTGGATGTCGAAATGTTGCTGTTGTTAATTGTTTATTAAAGAAAAGTGTTAAACTTGGTAAGAAAATTAATTGCTGTTTTTTTTTTTGTTTTATAAACAACAAATAATTGATTTTCATTCGAAAAGAATTTTATGAATGTTCAATGGAAAAGTTCAAAAGAATATAAAAAAGTACTTTCTAAAAAAAAAAAGTATTATCTTAAGAAGAAAGTCCTTCAACTGATTAATTCTGTTTGTGCCGGGATAATGTACTTCATCATGATTATAATGAATTATGAGAACATGCTGAAAAGAATTTGTGCCGTTGTGATACTGCATTTTTTATCGGATTTTGTTATATTAAAGCCGTGATATTCTTCATAGGAACACCAGAACAACTGATTTTTCAATGTCAAATTGATATTTGGCATAGAAATAGGTCTTAAACAGAAAGTTCTAGATCTTTTCATTATTCCTATTAGAGATGAGACTGGTTCAGATTTTTCAAAATTTAAACCGAAGTTGATTTGGGATATTGTGAACCGAATCAATTCTATATCTGATTTCCGTATAATAGCAAATCAAAAGACTTAACGTTTGTACAATAAACTATTCTATTCAAGATCAACCTTTGTGCTAAATTTCCAAGTCGAAATTCGAAAATTAATTTTCCCAATATATCTGAGGTGGACGATGGCTTTGATACAAAAAATACATTGTCGCGACAGTAATCAGCTAACAGCACGAACTCTTTTCAGAATATTCATAACTGATTAATATCTACATGATGCATGTTATTCCGACTCAAAAACAATTAATCAATTGAAAGACTTTCCTTGTTAGTTAATTGTTTTATTATATGTATACATGCGTCATCTATACATATATTAGAGGTACTTGAATAAAATAATTTAGCTTTTCTGTTCATCTCGATAGATTCTATTGGATTGAATATTGTCCAGAAAAAAAAACTATGCCCTTCGATACAGAAATGTTAGAATTAGAAAAAAGGCAAAGAATTTTTTTTGTTCATAACAAAATGAACATCTGACTAGATTATATTTTTGTTTAGGTCCATCAACATGGGCATTAGCAGCCGGTAAAAATGATATGATGACAATTTTAATATCCAAATTAATTGATGATGGTATTTCACTTTATAAAGTAAATTTTATAAAAATTTTTTTTTCCAGTTATCATATTATTTATTTTTTCTCCTTTTGATGAAATAGAAAAATCAATATAAAGATTCTGCTTATCGTTTTGCATATGCATTAAAAAAATTACCAAGTGATATTGATCAACAAACAACTGATCAATTTATAACTAATTTTCGATTTATGAAATATAATTGTTTAATTAATTTAGCTAAATGTAAACGGAAATTAGATGTATGAAAAAACAAAAAATCTATTCTTCATTTTCTTTATTTATTTATGAAAAAAAAAATTTTATTTTGTTTTATTTTAGTCTTGTGATGCAGCTATTGATTATTGTACACAAGCACTTTATATTCATAATACAGCTGATGGTCTTTTACTTCGATCAAGAATTAAACGTGATCAAAAGTATACGATTAAGATTTTTTGTTTTAAATTTAATTGCAAATTAATTTTCTTCTATGTAGATTATATGATGATGCATTGACTGATTTACTTGCTGCAAAAAATCTTGATCCAACAAATAATGATTTAGATCGATATATCAATCGTTTAAATGCTGATCTTCAACATTGTCATGAAACACTTTTATAATCATGATATTCCACTGCAACAGACCCCGGTCAACAATCTCTCTCTCTCTCTCTCTTTCTCTTCATATATATTTTTTCTTTTTGTTTGTAAACATTTAATGTTGAACAGTTGATAATAACCATATGTAATTATGTTCGATACTAAAAATATTTCTTTCTTTTGTTTTTTGTTTTTTTTGTTAATTTGATTAGAGATATAATACAGATGATAAAAAAGAAAAAAAGAAAAAAAGAAATTAAATCTTTCTTATTTTAGAATAAAGAGAAAAAAAAAATTCGATGCTTATAATCAATGTATGAAACAATTTTTGGTGTACAACATCGTTTGACTGTATTGAGATTATATAAAACTATACTTCGTTTACACCGAAGTCTTCCACATGAATTAAGTGAATTGGGTAATCAATACGTTCGTAGTGAATTTCGTCGTCATACAAATGCCAAACCTGAATTCGTTCCAAATTTTATGCTTGAATGGAGTGTAAGTAGTGTATTGAAAAAACTCACGTAAAATATGACCTTTTCTGTCTGTTTTTTTTTTATCAATCCAATCGCCGTCATCGTAAAATATATTATTTACTCTCTTTTTTCTTTTCTCCTATTTGTGATAAAGGCGGAGACAGTCGAAAGAAGGTTTTTTTTTATTTTTGCTTTATTCGTAGGAGTACGCTAGAATACTAACACGTCAAACATCATCTAAAAATAACGAATCATTCGGTCAATCAATTGATTTCAAAGCATTAGATCTTCTTAAAGAAGATCAACTCATTCAACTTTACGATTTATATACTGAAATAAAAAAATCTACACAAACAAATAAATAATAATGGCAACAAAATCTAAATTAGGAAACTTAATTCAGCTAACTAGTAATTCTAATGATCCAGACGAATATCCTTCACCTCCCATTAAAGAACCGTATATACTTTCAATTGACATTGGTACATCATCCATACGTGCTTATTTATTTTCAAAATCATTTGAAGTTATTTCATCAAGTCAAAAACAACAAACACTTCTTTATCCTGAACCACATGGTTATGAATTTGATCCAGAACAATTTTGGTCAATTTTACTTGATGTTATTAATGAAACAATTAAATCTGCTAGTCCATTAACTGTTACAGATATAACTTGTTTAGGTATATCAACATTAAGAAATTCTGTTATTTTATGGGATCGAAAAACAGGTAAAACATATTCAAATATTATTCTATGGAATGATTCAAGATCCAGTTCACATGCAACAGCAACAAATTCATCATTAACATGGAAAGCAATACGTGGTTTTGCTAAAGTTATTTATCCTATTGTTCAAACACCACGTATGTCAACATTATCAAAACTTGAATTTCGTACACAAATGATTGCATTTAAATTATTATGGTTATTTGAAAGAAAACCTGAATTAATTCAACGTGCACGTAATAATGAATTATTATTTGGTTGTATTGAAACATGGCTTATATGGAAATTAACTGGTGGACAAGAACATGTAACAGATGTTTCATGTGCAAGTTCAACAGGACTTTATGATCCATTTTTATCTCAATGGTCATCATTACTTTGTCGAAATTTAGGTGTTGATATGAAATTATTACCGACAATTAAACCAACATTTGGAGAATTTGGTAGATGTGATCCAAATTTATTTGGTAAGATAATTATAAATTTAATTAAATAAATATATATATATTTGATACAAAAAGGGTGAATATTTTTTTTTTGTAGTAAAAATTACAAAACTTAACTTATTAAGTTGGATGTAAGGAATTAGCAAAAACAACAAGATATAAATGAGGTCAACATCTTTTTTCTTATCAGTAGTCATATTCAACGACGAATCAGACCTCTGAATCATTTAGTAAAACTTATTTATCTAACTTAAAGTTGAAAGAATTGAGATTAAAGGTAAAACTAATGATCATACTGATGTCTAAGTGAATATCAAAGAAAAAAGACTACAGACTTCGTAGATAAACTATAGAATATCAGAAAGATATAATGTATGACATGAGTCAAATTCATATGACTCAGTTTGAGTCAAAGTCCAATGAAATATCTTAAAATTATCAAAATTATTGTACTGATGTATAGTCTAATTTGAAAATTTTTATTGGTTTTCTAATGCTAACTAATTAACTATTAATATATATGAGAAAAAAAAATTTTTTTTTCTTTCAAGGTTGTGCTATTCCTATTACTGCTGTCATTGGTGATGTTCAAGCAAGTATGTTTGGTCAATGTGTATCTCAACCTGGCGAATGTTTACTTACATTGGGTACTGGTGCTTTTATTAATATTTTAACTGGTGCAGTTAGTGCATGTACTGATGGTATATATCCACTTGTTGCTCATTCGGATCTTTTAAAACCATCAGAAAATATTCATTTTATGCATGCTTTTCATAGTGGTTGTGCTACAGTACTTAATTGGGCTAAACAAGCTAAATTTTTCGATGATTTTTCTGAACTTAATACAATATCAATGGATGCTCAACCAGCAAAAGTTTTTTTTCTTCCTGCATTTGGTGGTCATAATGATGATCCATATTGTGGTTCAGGTTTTATTGGTATTGGTAATGAAACAAAACGTGAAGATTTACTTCGCGCTATACTTGAATCAATTGCTTTTTCTATTTATGATGTATTTTCATTTGTACGAGATGATTATAAAAAACATCAAGGAGAAAAAAAATTAAAATGTTTACGAGCAGCTGGCGGTGTTTCAACATGTAATTTTATTTGTCAAATAATTGCAAATTTATCAAATATGTCTGTTGAACGTTGTCATGCATTTAATTTAGCATCAGGTATAGGTGCTGGATTTTTAGCTGCTTATGGTTATGATCTTATTGATAATTATGAATATTTTCAACGAATTATAACAGTTGATAAAGTATTTAAACCAGTACAATGTGAAGTAACAGAAGCTAATTTTAAACGTTGGAAAACTATTCTACCGCGTTTTACGAAATGGTATTCACCGGATGAAACGAATGATGATTGATTTGTTGCTATTTTTTTTTTGTTTCTTGTTCTTCTTTTGGTGATCTCGTATTTTATTACTCCTTTTTTTGCTGTGTTTTTTTTTTGGGAGGTATGTTAATTCAGTCAATTGTCTCTGTGCCTAAGTTTTTTTTCTGTGTGCATTATCATGTGATATAAGCACTGGCTTTTATTATAAAACAACTAATTTTTATCTTTAGATATGATATTTCGATTTGTGCATAGATAATACTCAATATTTCATCAGTTATGTTACGCACTTCATTACTTAGTAAGTTCATAAACAAGTATATCTTGATAATCATGCATGTAAATATTCGTTCAACTTTCGATTGATGTAGAAATGGATAAAAACGATTAGAAATTCGTCTTAAACTCATCGATTTGTCAATGTAGAAAAAGACGAGAGCCATTCATATAGTTAACTCTGAGGATCAAAGAAGATGAATGCCTAATCGAATGTATTTGTTTTTTTGGGAAATTACACTCTATATATAGGGATGAACACATTCAAAAAATATCCATAATGATAGACAAGATAGGAAAAATCCAATAAACACGATGATAGACAAAGAAGAAATTCTCGTGATAAGAAAAAAAGAAAAGGGAAAACAATATATGTCATAAAGGAGAGGAAAGAATGCGTTATGAGAGAATGATGCAATGGAATGGAAACATCATGAAGTGGATCTTGGTCACTCTATAACACAATGAATAAATTAAGTAAAGATTCGAGCATTTATGAACAGTTTTCTATTGAAGCAATTCTTGTATATAAAATCATCCATAACTTCAAGAATTCAAACTTTAGTTGTTCATTGATGATTGTATCAATTGAAATGTCATTGCTCTTTTCTCTCTCTCTAGTTTATCAATAAACATCCAAATACAATAGTGATCTACAGATTAGTTTGAGTGTTAATATCAGTTTCACCCTCAATCCGATTGCGGACATAATCTCACTTTGAACGCTCACATATATATTTACATAGATGGATTAAGAGCTATGAGAAGTTCATCTTGAACTCATTGATTTGTCAAAGTAAAAAAAAATAAATGAAAAAAATTGATATAAGAGACAAAATAACACATATTGATTGTATTATGCATTTTGTACCATTGTTCTAAATAAAGAAAAAGAGAGATATATAAGTATACAAAAATAAAAAGAACAGTGCATTGATATTTTTTTAAATTTTTATCACTTTATTTACAAGCATTACAAGGACAAAACCATTAGTGCTGAAAATATCGTTTCTTAATTGCTTTCATAATTATTTATTGATGTATGAAGATCGCAATAGGATATGACATTGGATATATATGTAATATACCCTAAATAATTAAAGAGAGAGTGGAAATAATATTCTATATGTGATATATTTATTAAGATTCCAATTCTTTTAAATATTGAATTGTTAGAAGAAAATTTATTGTTCGATTTCGTCGATTCTCTTTCTGTTTATTTATTGTTTTTTATCAAATTTAATATTCAATAATTCTATAAAAATACTTTATTAGAGTATATAATTTGTCTACTTATATATTTCTTATTCGTTTAGTTTCATCATCTATTGCTCGACGTTTAATTGTTGCAAATACTTCGACTAATGTTCAAACATCCTCAACAATAAAATCAGAAAAAATTCCTCAAATAAAAGTTGCACTATGTATACAACGTTATGTGCATTTATCACCTGAAATGAATCAATTAGAAAAAGATTATACAAATTTAGTAGCACAATTAGAAACTGAACATAGTTATTTATCAGATCATGAATTACGACATAAAAGAGAAATGTAAGTGCAAAAAAAACAAACAAACATATTCATTTTTATATTGAACATAAAATATTTCTTAGTGAACTCGCCAAACAACGACAAAATTCACCAACAAGTACAGCTGCAGCAGTGAATATTGTTGAAACAGCTGTTGATTTAGAAGATCGTTTAGCAAAAGAATTTGAAAATTTTCAATTGATGTCAAGAGAAACAGGTATACTGTCTTTTTCTCATGTTTTTTTTTGTTATTAATCTTATTGTGTTTGTTTTTTTAGAGGATGATAAAAAAAATAATCTTCGAAGTCATAATCGAAAACTTGATCAAAATTTATTATTAATCGTACAACAAAAGAATTCACAATCGAATAAAGATGAATGGATTTTTCCAGAGAAAACCTATGATGGTGAACCATCTTTACGAGCAGTAAATATTCTTTATTTCGATAATTTTTATAAAATATTTATTCATTAATTTTAGACAGCTGAACAAATTATTTCAACATGTGGAAATCTTCATGTACAAATATCTGGAAATGCACCATTAGCTTGGTATAAAAATGATGCAGATTCATCGTCCAAAAAGGTAAGAAAATAGTTTGATACTTTGTTTCATATATTGTCTTTTTGTTTTGATAGATTTTCTTTTACAAAGCTGAATATTTGGCAGGTGTTGTTAAACAATTTGCTACTCTTAAATCATCACCTTATAAAGATCATGCATGGATTATCCATGAAGATCTTCCTAAATATTTGTCGCCATCATATTATAAAGCTGTGAAAGACATGTTGTTTGTGTTTTAAGAGAAATTAAATAAGATAAATAAACATTTTAGAGATAAAAGGAAACAAAAAGTTGATATAGAGATAAATTACAACTTTCAAATCTTTGCTTGAGAAAGAAAGAATGATCTCTTTTAATATTAATTGAATCAATATTCATCTATTACAAATAATAGTGTTAGAAAAAAAATGATTGCACTCCATCGCCAAACAAGGTACTGACGAGGGAACGTCCCAAGCTAAAGCTCAGCTTTAGAGTTGACATTTTATCCATATGTTGGATTTCATTGAGACTAGAAAAATCCCAAAATGATTCGGGTTTCTGGGTCTTTCTTCATGAGTTATGACAATTTTGCTGCATTTTTTGCCTTTGACTGGCTATTTCGGAGATAATGAAATCATGTGATTTAACGCTGAAATTTTGTCTATAGATAGTTCTAGTCATCAATAATAAGTGCTCAAAATTTCAGCCGTTGACTAGGTTCTTTTCATCAGTTATTACGGTTCCACAATAATGCATATATCCTATATTATAGTGTATACATCCAGATTCCTTGTGAGTCCAGTAGCCCTTCAAGAGAACATAGTCAACGGCTGAAATTTTGAGAATTTGTTATTGATCACTAGAGCTATCCATAGACAAAATTTCAGAGTTAAATCACATTATTTCATTGTCTCCGAAACGGCCAGTTAAGGGCAAAAAATGCAGTAAATTTTGCCATAACTCGTGAAGAAATATCTAGAAACTCGAATCTTTTTGGGATTTTTCTAGTCTCAATGAGACTCACATATGAGCAAAATATCAACTTCAAAGCTGAGTTTCATCTCGATACGTTTCCTCGTCAGAGATCTGTACTCTACAAAATATTTTTAATTTTATTAGTTTTACATTCAATCAAATAACCGTCGTATACTCAGATTTTCATGTTGATTATGAATCTGAAATCATATTTTTGATTCGGTGAACATAAAATATGTAGTGTCTTGATTATGAATCAGAATGTATAGAGATGAACATCAGTCATCAACATTTATAGTACTGACTTAATGTCATTACCAGAATTCTAACATTTTAAAATAATATCTTAGACGATGAAGAGCTTCAGGAAATTTCAAAAAATATAAAAATCATTCTGAAATAGAATTATTCAATGTGGTTAATTGCATAACACTAGAAAATTGCCTAACAGTCAACTATCCTATTTGGGCGTATATTTGCATTACCTATTAGAAAAGATATTGTAGAAGTTACTGAATCAGCCAGTTTTGTAGAGACATCGTTTTGCACGTCACTGCACGAGAACCCATGAGCAAACGCAACGAAAAGATCAAAATCGTTGTAGTCAATCAGCATGCTATTGAACGAAAATAGAATTATTGTTATCGATCGATGTTGCACTTTTAAAAACTATGTAATATTTTGAATACTCAACATTTTCATGTGATGAAAAGTCAATATTGTCGTTTCATAGTTATCGAGACCATATTACTAATTGTTGTTTTGTTTTCGAACAAACAAACTTCTAGTAAAAAGCAAAATAGACACTCATCAGACAGGAGGTTGGTTTATTGAATTCTTTTTTCTTCTTATGGTCAACAAAAACAATGTGTTACATTTTATGATCGTGAACAACTAAGCCGATCTCAAATTTGTTCTCATATACATCAAACAAATGGTGGTCAATACAAACACTTTTATAAAAACACGCAAGATAGTCTATCATATAAAGTAATTGCGTACTAGTCAAGAATATTATTTTGAAATATTATCATTTTCTGACAACTTTAAGATCAGACTTACCAAATCCAAATTTCAGAATTTAATAAATTTATCATAGAAAATCAGGAGATTTTTATTTGAAGTTAGAGCAGCACCTTACAAATTTTTTTCGAAGAATAATAAAACTTCAATTTAGATAGATGCTTCTCTCTTTATCACACTAGCTTCATAGAGGAAATATTTCCACAGAAATCATATAATAATAATAACAATACGAAAAAAAGAAAGACTATTAATGAACCTTATATCATCAAGCATTTTACAGTCGTTTATTAAAATATATAAAAATAGTATACTAGAAAAAGTGATTATATATGAAACATTCGACATTACCCGTACGATTTGCGACATTTTTGGAATATGACTATATTATTTTGAAAAAAGACTGTGTTTAAAGAGTTGTCAGTTACTTCAGAAATGATTAAGAAACGGGTACAGATGTGAGTATTTTTTTATCTAATAACCACATATCCATCAAAGAATATAAGAAAAAAATATATCTTATTTGGATAAATATCTATTGGTGAACATTTGATGAAATGTTTGACTCAATCTTTCTATATAGAATTCAGCAAATAGACTACCGTTTCCGATAGTATTTCTACAGTATCTAAGTTAACATGTAATCTATGAGATACAATTCAAACTTTCTGTCCAACGCGCTTTAACAAATCGAGAAGAACATTATTCTGTGTATGAATAATTCTTTTTTTTATTATTATCTTATTAAAATATATAATAAATGAACTGTCTACTTGCACTTTTATGAAATTAATACCGTTCTTTATATTAATTATGCTACAGAAATTATTCGATCTTAGATTATCAAAATAGCAATCATTATCTTTCATTTTGTTACCGTGTAAGATATAGAAAATGTATTTATTAACCATATCTCTGTCCGTCTGTTCCATTAGTACTGATATTCATGGAAACATATTCACTTGGTATGTATTGAATAACTGAAAGATCTCAGATATAATTTATGTTCAATAAGATGACGGATAACTCAGAAAGGAAATCGTAAAAGAACGAAAAACTTAGAAATATGATATAATTCATTATGATCTGTTGGTTTTCATTCTGATCATCATACAACTCCCTTTCAATACACTGTCATATTTTGTCCTGTTTTGATCTAAGAAAAACAAATCAAAATTAACAATCAGAATTTTCGGTTAGGAAAAGAGGAGGATGGAAGTCTTCTCTATCTCCTCTCACAATGTCCAACTTTGTGTCAATTTTTTACAGGTTCATGGTAACTTTTGACAGAAACTGGATTGTGAAACACTATTTGCTTTTTTTTTGGCAGAAAGCGAAATAAAAATAAGTAGACAATGTCGTTCTGAGGTGAAGAGGATTGAAGTAGGCTCCCGAAGAGGGATGGTCTGGTGATAAGTCACCTGTTTGAGAGAGATCGGATCACAGTAGATTTCATTCTAAATAAGTGATCAACATTTGTACACATTTAATATGTCAATTTGAGTACATTGTCAATATTTCTATATTATATTTTTTGAGAGGTACTTGAGAATTTTTCGATTTCTAAAGTTCGATTGAGTTTATTCTCGAGAAATAAATGAAAAAAATGATTTGTTTTCTTTTCCTTTCAACATAAATTAGTTAATCTTTAAAAACTTCTTCAAAATAATAAATTCTTCCAACAATCAAAAAATATTTTCTAAACTCTAACTTTCTTTATGAAAGAACACTTTGTTCTTTTATTTTATTTTTTTTTATTCAAATAATTCAATAATACTTCAAAACACTTAAGATTTTTTGATACAATGAAATAATTTTAAATTATAATAAGAAAAATTCAACGACATGAATGACTTGATCTAGCCTCCAATAATTCAATTGTGATTGGTTGAATCATTTGATGGATATATAAAGAAGTTTATATGAGTCATCGTGGTATGTGTAAAAAAAACTAATCATTCATCAATTCTCTCATGTTTTTTGTCAGTTTATTTTTATCAAGGTACGTCATAGCATTTAATATTACAAAGATAGACGTAAAATTATCAATTTTCAAATAAAAATACATTTATTATTTAAATGTTTGATTTTTACTCTCTTTTCTCCTCATGAAATCATTCATGTTTATTTCAGTAAATCATTCATTTCAATATGACTTTTTTTAATAGTTGTCAAAAATATTTTTTCATTTATACCTATTTTATTATATTGACACCTTCAAGGCATATAAGTATACGTCCGTCTCAAGTCGTGACAAGAGCCAACTCAATACATTTTTATGTCTTCATCTTTGTTTTCTCTGTCTGTCCTCAAGATCGGTCATTCATTATTTTTCTTTTGTCTCATTTTTCATCGCAGACGACACTGAATAAATTAGTATGATCGATACCGTTTATTATTATATATATGAATTCTTTTTTCTTTTTTTTTTTAAGCTTAAATAGTCGAATAGAAAGATAAAATTGTACAAAGTTGACACGTTATCATCAAATACATATACACAACAGATCCATTCTTTCATATTCGACCTCATTAGAAGAAGACGAAGGAGAAGAAACAACGTATATTTTGTATATCGTTTGTTCGATCGTTCTTCTCATTTTTTTTTTCTTTCCCCTTCAAACGTAGGACATAAGTAAACGAAGAATTCTCTCTTTCGATACAGTAAATTAATGGTTGAAATCTAACGGGCCCTCACCGACACCGCTGTTCGTCTGTATTATTTATTGTGTATCTGTCTGCTACTTCTCTCTCGTTTTCTCTCTCTTTCTCGCATACACAATTGACTTTCTTCTTATCTCTCTTTTTTTCTTCTCTTTCTCTCTCTCTCTCTCTCTCTGTCTCTCTCTCCTTGTCTTTCTTCAGTTGTTTGTTCACTCTACTGCTTTTGTTAAAACGGCGGCAATAGTGACCATCATCGTCTTAAGATAAATGTGAAACAACATGCATGAGACTTAATCCTAGATATATGTAAAAAATAGAGATCAGTGCTATTTATTTAGAGTTTTGAATTTTATTTCTTTTTTTCCCTTCTTTTTTTCTCTTGATTTTTACTACTTAAGCTTTTTCGATTTTCGCAA